TCTTTTTTCTAGTCAGTACATTCTCTCTCTCTCTCTCTCTCTCTCTCTAAATGGTTGTTTCTTAGTTTTAGAAAGAGATGAGCATCCACACCTTTACAGCCTCCATCCTAGTAAGAGGGACTTAATGAATCGAGTGAGAGAATGAGAGAAAAAGAGAGAGAGATAGAGAGAGCCCAAGAGAACACCAAGATCCACACCTTTTCCTAGTTTTGAAGACAGGAATGGGGCATCTAATCGAAAGAAAGAGTGTGAGAGAGAGAGACTTGGGCCATACTAATTGAGAGAGGAGAGACATTTCCACACAATCAAAGAAACCCCCTAAGTCAACTTGGGAAATTTTGCCAAGTCTTCTATATGGTGTGAAAGAGTTAATCTGAACTAAGATAGACCTAAACATGGGGTTTCATTAATGAGGAGAGAGGGAGAGAGAAACCCTTTTTCTAGTTACAAAGAGAGGAGATGAAGTATTCAATCTAGTAAGAAAATATGGCCCTTTGTTGGTTCTAGATACAAAGATATAAGGCATGCAACCATCAAGAGAGAGAGAGACAAGGATCCAAGCTAAGAGGGACTATTCACCAGTCGCCACATGAAAAGGATAATAGCATTCACCACATGGTGAATGCAAATAAATCCCATGAGAGCACATATTTACAGTTACACACACTCCATGTAACAAGAAATTTGTCTAATGCACCAAAATACACTTGACATGCATTAACACATCAAACACCTGATATGGCTTTCACCAACTCATTGGACATACTTCAACTATTGGAAACATGAGACAAAGGCATGTTGAAGATTGACATACGTGGCTAAATTTTCGAAAAGTGGCACACTTTGTACACAACATCCAACTTTTTCATATAAATTTATATGTAGCTAGTTAGAACATAAAATTTACATCTAATATGTAAATACACAAATGTAGATACCAAAAAAGCCAAACTATAAGGACATAGGATACTTCAAATATCATTTCTTTTAAAATCCAAATCATGCATGTCCTCTATTGCAAACTATAAGGACACAAGGTGCCTTAAACGCTATTTTCTTTGAGGAGCTGAATACATTGATGTTCTCTACTATGTCATAGATGATGCCTGAAAAACTAAGGATCTCTTGCATCAAGTTCAATTATGGTGTAGACACCAATTAAGAAACACACACACTTGTGGTTGTCACTTAAAATGATCGATCCACCCATATGTAGTGCCATTATTGGTCAGTGCTGGGAATTTGAAAAAGCTAATATTGAGGTATATACAATTTGTTGGGCAACAAATCATAAAAAAGCAAAAATCATTCTTATTCATCAAGTACGCTAACTAACTCAAAGCCAAACATATCCTATATATTTATGTATTACAAAGTACACACATCAACAAAAGAACTGTCTTATTAAATCTAACATTAGGTAAGTTAAGTCGGCATTCCCATCTCTAATTTAATAGTCCAACACCTTCCCCAAAAAAAAAAAAATCTCCCCATCCAAATAAAATAAGAGAAAAACTAAATCAAGAATATGGGAAAATAAGCAAAACATTCCAAAATGTGAAACGTTGGCCAAATATCCTCATTGTGGAGGGCATCTATGGCTTGGGCCTCTGAGATGAGGAAAGGGCTGAATGCAAACTCAACATGAGACTCTTATTTAGGTGTGGCATAACCAAACACAAACACTAGGTCATGTGCCAAAGGGTCAATTTACAAGTCACTGAAAAACTCCCAACAAAACACAAAGACCAACCCAAAGAAGAAAATCAAACATTTAAAACAAGAAATCTAATCAATAGTTTTTTTTTTAGAAATGAAATCTAATCAATATAACCGGCCATTGTATTTGGGAAAAAAATACTACTAAGAGCAAGAAACCACACCTTCCCAAAAGGGCACACACTTACACATTTCAAATAAGAAAGCCACAGAACATCCGATTAATGTCACAAGTTATTGACATGAAAAACAAATTAAAAATTGGGGAACAAAAAAGACAAGCTACAAAAATTGAGACAAGTGCAAACACCAAAACAATAGATGTCAGATACTAAGGAAAGACAACAAGAATGATAACAGGGACATGAGAAAAGTTCAGCAACAATTAACGACAGTAACAAGAGAAGTACTACAAGTTAGCCCCACAGAATAATAATGGAAAACTGACAATCCAACTTTCCTAATTATTTACAAATAATAATGGCAAATTCGAGGAGGATAAGCAGACACCAAACAAAAAGAGGCAAGGCAAAATTCAATAACAGTGAGAAAAACAATTAGAAAACAAACAACCCACTTTCAAAATAAAGCAACATATGCAGATACCAAACAAAAAAAGCCTGAAACAAATTAAAAAATTGAATAACAATGAGGGAAACTAATAAGCAGGAAGAAACTAAAGAAGGGCAGACAATCACCAAATGAAAAAGCAAGAATTGCAATCACCAAACACCAAACATAGAGGACACTTCAAACGATCCAATTACAATAAAAAGAAACTGATTCTAATGATATGCAAATTGCAAAGAAAACAAATACATCACAAAATATCACATAGGAAACACACCAAGCGATCCAATAACAACAAAACAAAACACACCAAACTATCCAATAACAAAACACAAAACAACAATGATCGCTAAGGATATGCAAATCAAACAAAGAATGATATGCAAATCAAACAAAGAATGATATGCAAATCAAACAAAGAATGATATGCAAATCAAACAAAGAATGATATGCAAATCAAACAAAGAATGTAAAAGGTTACCTAGTAATACGGAGGATAAGCTGCTCCGGAAGGCACCCTTGGAACCGGAGATGCACCAGATGGTGGGTGGTGATGGTGCTGACTTTGGTATGAGGTTGTCGATGAAAGGGCCCCATAGTGACCCGGCTCGGGATAACTGCCAACACCTTGTGAGCTTGGTGGAAGCCCATACATCGACCCACCACCACTTCCCCCATAGCCAACACCAGCCCCATGCCCATAAGCCTGGGAAGACCCATAAGCCCCCAACCCTGAAGTATGGTGCCCAGCCCCATAAGCCCCACCACCAACACCAAGCGTCGAAGGCATGGGCCCCGAAACCCCGCCCCTCAATGACGAAAGCCCAGGTGTTGCAACCGATGATTGCAAAGGCGAGTTTAGATGGTGCCCTAACGAAGGGCCAGCCATGCCGGGTTGAGTATAGCCCGAGTGACCAAGCCCATAGGGAGGGGGATTGGTTGGTGGTCCACTTAGGCCCCCAAGCCCCGTGGGTTCAGGGACTGGGTTCTCTTGCCCGGCAAGAGGTCTGCCCTTTTTCCCATCGACCGCAAGCTTGCACACAAGCTGGTGCCCGTCCACAGACTTATTCGGCTCCTCAAGTGCAGCCTTTGCTGCCTCCACCGTCTTGTAAACAAACAACGCAAACCCTCGTGATTTCCCTGTTTGCTTATCAAACCCTAATGGCCCCTCCTCAACCTCCCCATACTGCAAAAAGTGGTGGAGGAGTCTATCAGCAGGCATGTCAAACGGCACATTTCCCACAAATATCTTGCGAGCCGACACATCAACTGAGGGAACCGAGGGCTGGTTGCCTGATGCAGCAAGTTGAGTCACAGTCATCCTTCCATCAATCTTTTTGCTAGGTTCTTTTAGGGCATTGAGGGCACCATCGATGTGCTTGAAGGTGACAAATCCGTAACCCTTGGATTTTCCAGTGGCCTTATCTAGGATGACGACCCCCTCTTCAATCTCACCATATTGAGAGAAGAGGGTGCGCAGGGATTCGGTGGTGGTGTCCCAGCCAAGGCCTCGGATGAAGAGCTTGCGATCGGTGGGATCACGGTCAGCAATGGCACGCACCAGGTCAAGGACATCAGGGTGGCGAGCAGTCGCCTCCTGAAGGATGTCGAGAAGCTGCTCTTGTGTGAAAGGCTCTATGATCTTGCGAGCGTCTTCCACTGAGATTGTGCCCGAGCCATTCTCCTCAGTCTTTCTCTTTTTAGAATCCATTTCCCTCTATTTGAATCTGAAAAACGCTCTCTATATCTATCTGTGCAAACGTTGCAAAGGTAGGGAAAAACGGTCTCTGTGCAAAGGTAAGAAAAAACGGTCTCTATGCAAAGTAGGGGAAAGACGGTCTCTGTCTCGAAGGTAAGGGATGTCTCTCTTCTGTGAGAAGGTAAGGGAAGAAGGGTGCAGATGGAAAATGAGAAGGTAAGGGAAGAAGGGTGCAGATGGAAAATGAGAAGGTAAGGGAAGAAGGGTGCAGATGGGAAGCTGGGAACTAGGGCAAGGGAAACGCGAAGAGCGCCACAACGAAAGAAAGTAAATAGGGTTTTCACCGTATCTGATTCTATATATCGAAGCGGCCGGGAAAACTAAGCTATCCTTTAATCGCTCGTTGCATCATTGCCCACGGGACGCATCGGGCTACGGGACCTTTTTGAAGATAGGGCTGGGAATGGCCTACCGGGATAGCCGGTTTTTTTTTACTATTATTATTAAAGGTACAATTGGTAAAGAAACCAGCCTCTAAACGATCGAAATAGAGCCCACCTTTTAATAGCCTCGAGAAATGTAGTTACATTACCATAAGTGTTTGCGAGAGCTTTCAATATAGTTTTATTTTTATTTATAAAGTTTAAAGCTTCAAAAATAGTGTAGATCGACAGATTTATGAAAGTTTGAAAATCTTGAAAATTGATGATCTAAAAATGCATTATAAAATACATTATTTTCAAAACTTAAAATTCATGTCCATGCATCTTGATGTCGAGATGATCAATTTGAAGATATTTGAGCATCAAAACAACATTTTCTAATGAAAATTTTTAGGTAGGATGTAATTTGATTGTTTAGAGCCTCCGCTCTATATAGATTTTTCCCTTTCTTTAAATTTAGGGTTATATTATGAGTGACTATTATCTTCAGGGAAAAGTTTATATAGAGTTGAGGCTCTAAACAATCAATTTTGAGCCTACCTCAAAAATTTCACTTAAAGAGGTTGTTTTGATGTAAAAATATCCTCAAATTGATCATCTCGACATCAAGATGCAAGGACATGAGAAAAAAAATAGATTTCAAGTTGTGGAAATAGTATATTTTGTAACACATTTTTTTATCGTCAATTTTCAAGATTTTCAACTTTTCATAGATCCACTTATCGAGACTATTTTTTAAGCTTTAAACTTAATAAATAAAGATAAAAATATATTTTAAGGCTATCACAAAGATTTCCGGTATTGAAACCATATTTCTCGATACTATTTGAAGGTAGGCTCTAATTCGATTGTTTAGAGCCTAGGTTCTATACAAACTGCACCCTTATCTTAAATGTATTATTTTTTCTTCTTTTTTTTGGATATTTATATACCTTTATTTTATAATATAAATTCTTTTTAGTAGATATATTTTTTGTCATTAAAATGTGTAGAACATAAATTTTTATAAAAAACTAATGAGATTTATTAGTGGTTAAGAAGCTATCATTGTTTCATGTAGGTAATGTCATGATATATCATCTTCTATTATAATTAATAAATGCTCTTTTTGCTATCAAAACTTTCAATTTTACCCCTGATTAATTATATAAAATAACTCTAAATATAAAAATTGCTAAATGGTAGGGTAAAGGTATCAAGTGTAAAAAAATATTGAGTACATTAAATAAATATTCAGAAGTATGAGTACCCTAACATAACTCTAAAATTTAAAGCCTGGGCTTTGAAAATTAGAACCAAGGAAACAAAATGTTGCTCAAGGTCTAGAAAGACAGAGAGAGTCGATAGGGCTAGACTCCATTGGTCCCATCCGGCATTGGAAATGGCAGCGAGACAAAGTCTATAGTGAATGCTAAAAAATAGAATTTGGGAGATTTGGAATTGGGGAAATTGCTTCCCATGTTGTTGTTTTTTTGTTATTTTTTAGGATAAATTAAGATAAATATCTCTTTTTGGATAAATGATCCTATAGGATCCTCTCCCACTCATGTGTGTAGGATCTCACATGATCACTATTAAATTTGACATAGATCTATAGAAAAGTCAAGTCCGGTCCTGGAGAATCATTACTCATCTTTTTGGTATATACTCTTTAGAGGAGTAATGATCTTATAGGACCTTCCCACACCTACAAGCATAGGACCCCAATACGTCACCTTTAGATTTCAATCCAAATCTCAATGCGAGATTTGAATCCCTCCCATTCTTTGTTTAAAAAAATATTTTTTTTTAGTAACTCTTTCTCTCTCTTACTCTCTCCTCTCATCCGTACTTCCCTTGACCATATGCATTAGCACTTCCGTACATCTCTGCCTCTCTCTCCCATCTCAATATGGGTTTTGGAAACCCCCATCCATCTCTCTTCACCTCTATGTTTAATCTCTCTCCTTGGTCTCTCTCTTCTGCCATTATCGAATGCAAAATCCAACTAAAGAAATTAAGCATGGAAAAATCATGAACTGAAGGCTTGTTTGGACCGTTTATAGTATAAACATCTAAATCCAATGCCTCATTAAAATACCATAGCCTTCCTGATGCATTTCCTTGACCGATCCAAAATTTATCGATGCAATCCTCTAGCCCCAGAAGAACAATCCCTGCATTGTACTTGTTCTCCCTGTGCTTAAAAGATAGTTATTCGGCAACCCAACGAAAGAATTTCAAAGCTTTTATGGGAGAAGCACCAAAATACTCACTACCGTTTCGTCAGATAAAGAAATGTCCAATGAACCGAATTTTTTACTTGCTTCTTCATTTCAGTCACATTTATTGACAATCCTAACTATTTGTGCGAGTATTTTTGTACCAAATGAATTGGACTCAGGTTCCGAAACAATTCCTTCACTTTTTTAGCAACTGTCTAATTTTGCTTCGTTAAATTTTTTCAAAATGACTTTGTAGGCTTCCTCTTGAAATGTTTTGTACTTCTTTTCTCATAGTTTTGATCAAACCCCTTGTATGCTTCAGAACTAAGCCTACCATCTATAGCCTTTGAAGCCCAATTGAAAAAAACCCAATTGCGGAACGAGGATTCCCCTTCCGATTTTTAACCACATGCATTAGATTCATGCCCTCATTTTGTGAGAAATTTGTGGTTTTCAATTAAGTTTCAGTCTCTTTAGACCATTTGCTCCTCAATACAATTTCAGTCAATTGGGTATTCAAAAGGTCTCAATCTTTGATTTGAGGTGAAGCAATAGAAGCTAAAACTGCTTGTGATGAAAACCAATGTCTTATATTTTCAGCGATTGAATAAAATGTAGAAGAAAAGCCATTTTTATGGGGATTATGAGCCAATGAACCAAAAATAAACAGGTTTCTCTGGCTTTAAATGACTTACCTGAAAATGGGAAGAAAACTTTTGATATTTTTTAACAAGCAGTTGGGGATTTCTTGAGCTTGAGTTACTTTGGTTATGTGTTGTTCCCAAGGGTTTTGCATTCGATAATGGGAGAAGAGAGGGGTGGCACAAGCAGAGGCTGGGTAGAGGGAGAAGAAGGGGAGGGATTCAAATCTTACATTGAGATTTGGATTGAAATTTAAGGGTGATGTGTTGGGGTCCCAGGCCTGTAGGTGTGGGAGGGTCCTATAAGATTTATAAATATCCCTAACATTTTCTATTATAAATATCCCTAACATTTTCTATTATTATAGGATGCCACTTTTTTCTAGTTTTTATTTTTCTCAAAATAGCTCTTTGTTGCTCGTAAGTGTCAAACTTTGATTTCAACATATCCAAATTAAAGTTTTTTTTGTTTTTTTGGGTAGTTTAGTGGTAGGAATTGAACTTGAAATGTTAAAAGCATCCCCCTTTCGTTCTTTAAGAATGTTGTTGTATCTCCGTTCGATACATGTGAAGACCTAAAAAGCATCCTTAAATAGTCCGATACACGTGAAGATATAAAAAGTACCCCTAACTCGTTCAAGTCAGGTGATGATATAAAGGCTACTTGACTTCATCCAACAAGGGTCATGACATTAGAAGATCCTTTATATCATCCATTGAGAGTGAAGACGTCAAAAACCCCTTTATCCAGTTTGGGTTATGAATCTAATAGCACCTTGACTCTATCCCAATCAAGTAACAACCTTAAAAGCTATTATTTCCAATACCAAAACCATGACATCCGTTCATATGCCCTCTCTACAATTGGCTCTTCCTGCGATTTCAACTTAGATGTTCTGATTTCGACACCATCACCAAAGATCTTCGACAAAAGAACACCAGCAAGAGGCACTGTAAGCAACTAAGGAGAATGATGGCTTAGGAAGTGGGGTTGAAGTCTAGAATGGTGAGGATCATATGTGAAAGTCAAGCAACATAGCAAAGAAACCAAGGCCTCACAGCCATTCGAAGTACATCAGAACGAATTATTGCCACCTTAACACAAGGTATTGAAAAAATGGAGAAGTAGACTTGGCTTATATCCCCACTGAGGTCATGCATGTGGTTCCCATGACAAAAGGGTAGGAAGCAAATGCTTTACATGTGGTTTAAGAGAATCCGAGAAGTAAATGCTTTTACAAGTGAAATGAACATCTGCACGTAGATATGCGTGAGTATTTGCATGAGCCTAGATGAATGATGTGAGAGTATTTGCATGAGCATGAATAAGTGTGAGTATTCGCACGCATGGGCATAGTTTAATCAGACGAATATGAGAAATGAGTGAATGAAAATGCATGTTGATTTAATTCAAGGCTTCAAGAGGCAAAGTAGGAGATGTTGGAGTTATGGATTTTCAAGGCCTTGATTCTGTCATTCTATGATAGTTCTTCATTATAGTATGAGTGAACAATAATTCTTTGTCTCATTAGATTTTTGCAAACTAGGATTTAGAGAGCCACAAAACCCTGAATCATGAGGAATGAGTGCTTAGAGGGCTTTTGGGCCGAGAGGTTTGAGGGTTTCCTCTAGTCAAGGTTGGTGCAATTGTACCTCATGATTGTGTAAAGTAGGACATGAATACTTACATGGATATGAGAATATCTATAGCTCGAGAACTAATATAAGTATAAGCTATGCGTGAGAAGACTGGGCTTTGAGTGGACATGAACAATAATAGGGTAGTTAAACTAACTCTCATACGAGCTCCCAACAGTTCATTCATCTGACCATAGATTAGAGCAACTTTTGATTCTCCAATATTTTATTCCTTCAATAGTTGCTAACATGTGCATATGCAAGTGTAAATGGGAAGTTACTTTTTCAAGTATGATCCACTTGAAAGAATTATGCATGTGTGGTAAAATAGATAAACCCAGCATTCGCAGGAATTGCGAATGCATGTCCATAGGGCTGCACCTTGTCAGTATATCAAAAAGTGCTA